GACTTTCAAGTCATTTATATGAATATCAATATATCACCTGGGCCTTTTTGGCTACTTTCTCCCCACAAACCTTAAAACTGTAAAGTCTTTCTCTTCATCTCTACATTATTTTCATAAAGACTCAGAAGAAACTTTTCTGAACTTCCATCAAAAGGTGAATTCAAAAATAGAATAAATATTGTTGAGAAATACCACTGTCACTTTTATAAAATAGTATATAACCGTTCCTTTTAATTCTCTTTTATTTTCTTTAGTAACACCTGCATGCTCAATTGAGATGTGGTTTTTTTGTAAAAAGAAGGCAATAAGTCTCAAAATAGCTTTAGTTTATCGAATTCTTTATTTACCTCTGAATATATACCCCTGTACATGTGCATTGTGTAACTGTATAAAATGTATTTTGGGACTTAATAAAGATTAGGCATGAGCTGTTAAAAAAAAAATTGTTCTAATAATTAATTTTTTTTCTCCTTTATTAGGTTAGTTATGTATACTTTATTAAACATTTGTAAACTATATATATTAAATGAAATGCTAAAGCTAATTCTCTAACTAACTCACTCATATTGATTATTTTATTTCTTTAAGTGCAACTTTAGAAGTGATTTTTCACTTTATTAGAAGTTTAAGTGAAGACTTTTCCAACTTCTAATATCATTGCTCACAGGTCACTACTATAGACATTATTCTAATAATTAATTTAATTATTAATAAAAATATATCAAATATAAGTAATTTCTTTGAAATAGAAAGAAAAAATTTTAAATTTATATTGTTTATTAATATAATTTGACTTATATTCTTTATCAAATTTATTGAGTCAAATAAGAAAATTCTATTTTTTTAAAAAAATCGATATGTCTATTAATTTTGATTTATTATTATTTTTTTTTAATATATTTATTTTAACAATAGAATTAACAAATTTTTATAAGATATTAATAAAATTTTAATTATAATTTTACTTATAGTTTTAGATAAACTAATTTTATTGTTTTTTCTTTTACTTATTCCTTTGTTCTTAATAATATTTATTATTTATCTTTTTTATTATTCTAGTTATTGTTATCATTATATTTTTTCTATTTATTGCTTTTTTATTATTATTATAGTTCTATAGAAAATATTTGTTTTAAGATTAATTCAAATTATAAAGATAATCTATTTGATTTCAAGAGTTCTAAAATATATTATTTATTAATAAATAATAAAGTAGTAAAGAAAATATAATTTATATAATACAAGTAATTGTAATATAAAATATTAGAAAGTGAATTAAAAAAAGAAATAATAATATATCAAAAGAATATTTAAAATAAATAATTGCAAAATCTGAAAATAATTTTGAAATCTATAATATTAGTCAAAAGTAAATTACCCTTTCTATTTTCTGAAATTACATAATAATTGCCTTTGAAAATTTTTTGAATAATGTATAACACAATAATGATTATTAATGCTTTTGTAAGTTTATACAATATCTTTTGCAAAAATCAGATGATTGATAAGTTTTATACTTAAAAAATGTTACTTTTGCTCTATAAATAATATGAAATTGTTTTCTTATAAATATCTATTAGGATTAAAGCTTGTTTTCAAAAAAATAATTACCTGTATTGATTACAGTAAGTTTGTTATTATCAATATACTTTAAAAGTTTTACCAAAATCAAGATTTAAATTATCAATCAAGATTTGATTGTTTTTATATAACAACTTCTATTTAATATATAAAAATTTCAAAGATAGTTAAAAAACAAACTCATATAACTAGTATAGATATAAAAAGAAAACTCAAAAAACTAGATATTTATATTTGCAAAAGTACTATTAAACATCATTTAATTAAATCTGAAGTCAAATATATAAATACAATATCAAAACCACTTTTTAGTGAAAGACATTGAGAGAATCATTAAAACTAGACAATAAAATATTAAAGGTTTAATTGGAATAAGGTAATTTTTACTAATAAATATACATATTTTTATTTCAATTAAATAAAAAATATGGTAATATATTGAAAAGTGAAAAGTATTTTGAATTATAAAGTATTTGTAAAAATTTACATCTGGAACTGTTTTTCAGTTTTAGGATTTGATAAGTTAATTTAATTTATTTATAATTTGATAACAATTTTTTATACAAAATTTATAGAAAAGATTTTCTAACCTCTGCACAAGTATTTTTAGATGATAATAATATAGATTAATATTTCTTAAAAAATAATAATTTAAAACATCATTTAAAAAAGTCAAAAAAAAATAAAAGAAAGAAAACCATATTAAAATATTTCCATGGTAGACATATTTACCAGATTAAAATTTAATAGAAAATATGATAATTCTTAAAAATTAAAATACAACAAAAAAAATTAGATCAATTATAAATATAAAACAAGAAATAATGAAATAATAAAGTGAATTTTCTGATGTATTGGCTAAGAAATTAGTTAAAGTATAAGTAATTATATTTTAGCCCTAATAGAATCAGAAGTGATTATAAAAAAACTCTTTTTGCTGATCCACATTTTTTCAAAAAAAAATTTTTTTTGGTAATTTTCTTGAAAAACTCACAAAAACTCTTCTACACAAAAATAAACCTCAAAGGATACAACTATCCACTTCTAGGCAATAAAATCTACTTTACAACAACAAGAAAAGAGTTTTGTTCAGCTTGAAAGAATGATATTTCTAGATCATTTTTGCTTTTAGGAAGGAGAAAAAGCAAAAACAACTGATTCACAATAGGCTTTTTAAGACCCAACCTCAACTCCACAAAGCTCTTAGCCAGGCCAGTGCATATTAACATCTTTCTAGGCCCTAAAAGAAGTCTCAGAAGCAATAGATTACACTGATAAATCAGCACAACCTCAAAACTAACTGAAATCCAGGAGGATATTCAAGTCTCTTTGGTCAAACAGTTAAAAAATCACAATAACACAACAACCCCAGATCAACTAATTCACATCATGTAAACATGAACATGTTAATTTTTTATCTAGTTGACATGTATCAAAGCAAGCTAATCAATCTATAACAAAATAGTAGGACATGACAGATCAGCAAACTAAAACATGTGTAATCAACTAGCATATGATATCTAAAGCAAGATTAACAATTGATCATAGTTAGCTACGTGTTAATAAACAAACACCAGACATGTAAACACATAAAAGCCACATGTTATAGACTTCCTAATATCAATATAGCGATTTATTGCCATATACATCAAATAAAAAAATAATATATAATAGTATTTATCTGATCATATAGTTAAAAAGATACATATACAATAACAACATGTATTAAAATTTTTTGTGTATTACGTGACAACATGTCAACTAAAGAACAAACAATAATCAGGATTCTAGAGAAAAAAGAAAAGAAGTTACTAAAAGTATTAGAAAAAATAGCATCTTATCAAGATTCTCAGCAAGTACTCTGGAAAACAAGAATGATATAACATAAGTTGAGACCAACAATAACTAATCAACTTTACATTCCTGCTAAATCAATACATATTTTCTCAATACTAGATAGTATTATTGCCAATCTATTGAAAATAGATCCATTGGTAATAACAAAAAAGTATATACTGTGACAATATATCCTTACTCTTTGGAAAAAGGTACAAGATAAAAAAGAAGATTTGAAAGCACCGATGCTGAAAGAAAAAGTGTATAATATATTGACAAGCAAGTCAGCAACACCAGCATTAATCTATAACCAAATTGAAGTTCTGATGATGGAAAGCATCCCAATGGAAGTTCGACTAACTTCTACAGAACTCAAAAAAGCATACCCCATTAAAAAAGTCATAATGGAGGATAAAGAAGTAATGAAACAAATAGAAACAGAAGTGTTGAAAGAAACAGTGCAGGAAGTTGTATTATAGACAGCATGTCTTATAATATAAGAAACAGAGTTCAAGAAATAACAGTAAACCCATTCTTCATTAAAAAACAAGAATCAATCAAGATGAAGGTATTTCAAGCCATATTGCTAGCAGAAAATAAAGAAGAGGAAATTATATATTTCAAAGAAGCTTTAAAGATACCTAAGTGAATAAATCCCTTCAAAACAGAATTTATTAATGGCAACCATTGGATTACATTTGGCTTTGATGAAGAAGAAGATGTAGCAAGATATCTGGAGACTATCAACAAAAAAGAAGCTGAGAACTTTACACTTAGAGAATAAACAAAGATATGAGCATATGACCAGCCTTCTAAAGATATGCTCAGAACAAAAAGTTTTTCAAGCCAGAAAACTTTCCATCAGCTAAAAATATGTCAAAATATATTATATTAATAGATACAAATCACAAGCTTGGCAAACATGTAATTAGACAAACAATGGAAGAATTTGGAGAGATTATTAATATACATGAATATAGAATATCTTTTCATCAAAAATGGTTCAAAGTTCACCTTTATACTTACTGAGAATATATCAACTTGACAAAGAATGGGTGATCAAGATAAAATCCAATCAAGTACGATCTGTGATAGCTCACAAGGAACAAGATGACCAAGAAATTACTCAGATTCTAAAAGAGAGAAAGAGATATTCCTTAAGACTTTATGGAGTTGATGAATTATCTATAAAATCTATAGAAGAAGTCTTAAGCCATACGAAAGCTAAGATCTTTTATATACCAAAAAACAAGATCATCTTGGTATCAGAAAACTATGCAGTAGTATACTTTGAAAATGAAAAAGATTTAAAAGAGGCACTCCAGCACCAAATAAAAATCAACAATCAAGAGTTAGGATGGAGTATAAAGAATTATTATAATCACAAGGTATCAATCGATCTGGCTAGAATAGGCAAAGTACATATAATAATTAAAGAAGCAAGAAAACAAGATTACAAAAGCTGAGATAGAGTAAGAGAAGACAAATAAAGTAATGAAGATATAATGACAACTGAAAAAGAAGTTATACCAGTAGTAAGACTCAGAAGAAGCAATAGTTGATCAGAAAATAGGAGAAGCACAATGAGGTCTATACCATCAATAACTGGTAGCAATAGGGAGCCACTAGGGAGGCAGAGACATCAGGAAGCGAATCAAGTCTCATATCAGTCTTTACAATATTCCTTAGAAACTGATGATGAAGCTTTGGATATTAAGTGGCATCAAAGGCAAACAACAAGATAGGAAACAAGAAGCCGAAAATAAACTGTAAAGCAAGAGTCAGAGTTAGCCCAGCTGAGCAAAATATTAGAGAAGCTTAGCAAATGACTAGACAAACTAGAGAAAGGTCCACTCAAAAGGAGGGCCACCGTTCCTAAAAGAGTACACCAGTTCAACCACAGAAAGAGAAGGAATGTCAGCCCGCCATTCCCAAGTCAAAATTACAAAACAAGGGCAAAGCATAACAAATAGAGAAGAACAATAATAGGTGGCAACAAAGTAATCAAGATCTTAATACTTTTCTGCAAATAGAGAAAGATAAATTCCTAGAAAAAAATAGAGAGGATCAACAGATAGAAAAAACAAAAGAGAATGATATACAGAAAAGGGTAATTAGAATAGGAATACATAATATTAGAAGCATTACTAATAGTACAAATCAGTATAGTCTTATAGAAGAAATATAGGAACAAAGCATTGGAATAATGGGACTATGTGAAACAAAACTAATCAATGCAAAGGCAAAATGAATTTTCCAGAAGCAAAAAACCTTCAAGTATTTTTATAGTACCAATAAAAACACTTTATATGGTGCAGGAGTTAGTCTTTTGATAAGAAAAGATCTAGAAAGAAAAGTAGCTTCAGTAAAAGAGACAGAAAGATACATGATAGCAGTTAATATGCTTATGAAATGAAACAAAATATGTATCATCCAGATCTATATCCCCTCAGATAAACAGCAAAGTATAAAGGTACAGAAGAGGATACAAAGCTTTATTAAAGAATAGACAAGGCTTTCATGTAATAGTAATAGGAGACTTTAATGCAGTATACAATCCTGCAGAAGACAGGGTATCAATATCTAGAGCTAAATTTAAACCATCTTGGCATCCGGAAATACTGTTATTCAACTTTTTAGATGAATGGTCCTTTCTAGACATACAGGTTATATGGGAAGGAAAAGATAAAACTTCAACAAGATGGAATGCTACTAGCAGTAGCTGGATTGATTATATATAGATATTTCAAAGCCTTACAAAATATTCAATACTCAGATTTGATAACCAAAGTATGGAAGAAACAACAGGAAGTGATTATACTATGCTAGTACTAACAATACATGACACCAATCTCTTCACAAGAGATATTAAAAGCAAGCTTCCCACAAAGAGTGAACGAAGAATTGATATAAAGGGGTCAACACCTGAACAGTAGAAGACATTTAGTAAAAGCCTGAATCACAAACTCAGAACAACAATGGATCTATTGTTTAATGAAGAACCAGAGAATGGTAAAAGAGAAGCTCATGCAAACAAGATCTGGAAGACTTTTGAAGAACAAATATGCAGGGTGACATATAACAAGCTTATGACCAAGAAGCTATCTACTTTCCAAGAAAGACATTATAGGCATAAACCAGAATTCATCAAGTACCGGAGGACTCTTCAACTATTCGCACTTTTTAAGATGGTAGAAAGTACATATGATCCAATCAAATTGCAAGCCCTTAGCAAGACAATTAAGCAACATAATACTACCTTCAGTTCTAATCATCAGATCGAAACTATTGTATTCAATATAACATTTCACAAATTCCATGGAAACTATTAAAAAAGAATATATAGGATGCAATAGAAGGCTTAAAACTCACTTGTCAGAATACAGATGCAAAAAAGACAAGGGATATTATCAAAAAAGCCTTGGAACAAAGATGTGATGACTTACATAGCAATCGAAGAAGAATGGTAAACTCCTTGACTGACAGAAAGCAAGTCAAAATAACACTGGATAGAATCAAGGTTAAAGATAGAGAAAAGAAATATATAACTACTAAGAAGGGAGAAATTGAAAGAAAAATAAAGAGATATTATCATAAGGCATTTAAAAAAAGAAACGGCAATTTTAATAGCCTTACAAAAGATTGAAAAAAAGAATATAACCTTAAAGTCTATATTAATGAAAGATGGTATAAAGACTTATTGAAACCAATCTCCCAAAAAGAACTTCATGAAATTCTTCAAGGACTTTCCAATAATAAAGTCTCAGGAAGATCACAAATCAGTTATGAAATGCTAAAAAGACTGGGTCAAGAAGGAAAAGAATATTATAGAAAAATGCTTAACTGCTTTCTAAGGTGGAAAGTTACTCCAATAGGATGGAAGCATAATCATATATATCTTATAGCAAAACCAAAACCATAAGGATGCAAACTCCTCAATACCAGACCAATAGTATTGCTGGAAGTCACACGAAAATGCTTCACCAAAATCCTTACAAATAGATTGGGAAATATCTACAAGACTAACAATATACTGAGAGAACCTAATTATGCAGGATTACCAGGAGAAAGTATAGCAGAACTGATTCAAATTCTCAACAACATTTGTGAGAAAGCAAGAGAAAATAAAAAAAAATTATGAATACTTTTTCAAGACACAGCAAAAATATATTATACTATTAGTTTGAATATGTTAGTCAAGGCAATGAATAGAATCAAGATACCAGAAGGCTTTATCCAAATCATAATAAGTCTATTTCAAAATTGAGAATTTAGGATTATATTTGAGAAAGATCTAACTGAAGTAATCACAGCAGGAGATAGAATTGATCAAGGAGAAACCATCTCACCACCAATGTGGAGGATATTCTATGACCCTTTATTGTGCAAGATTCAGAATAATGAAACAAAAGGCTACAAAATGTCGGTGTTTTGGGATTCAAAGTTAAAGGAAAATACTGAAAAAAAACTAGAGTCAAGGCATGCAGCTATCGCATTTATAGATGATACAATATGGATAGCAAGATCCAAAGAGGATATAGAAAAGATTCTGAAAGAAGCACGAATCTTTTATAGGGCAAATGACTTGCAGATTAATAGTAGCAAATCAGTATTAATTATTATTAACAATTCCAATCAATATCTAGAAGAGGTCCAAGCAGGGGTCAACAAAGAAGTAGTTAGAGAATTGGATAGAATTAAACAAACAAGATTCTTAGAGATCTGAACAGATAACCAGAAATCTGCTATTGAGCTCAAAGAATAGATGCTTAAAGAAATCAACATAATTACCAAGTCTCTAAAGAACAAAAAGTTAACTGATAAACAAGCACTTTATATTCTAAACAGAGTCTTAATATCTAGAATCAAATTCAGAATGCAATATAGTGTACTATCTTGGTGAATGTATAATATCCTAACAATGGCATATAAAAAACTGTTTAAAAATAAGGCCACACTATATCGATCCATACCTAATAATATAGTACATTATTCCAGGATTTATAATTTAAAGAGTGTTTGGATGTTGCAAAAAAAAAGTTAGATAATAGGATTGTGCAATAGGTTAAATGACTTAGGATCATCCAGGATCACAACAATCATTAGGTTAAAGCAATAACAGATCAAGTACTGGGAGCCTCTCAACCTGCTCACATGTAACTCACTAAACCATTTTCCGGAAAGGGACAAAACTTCACATTACAAGTACTAAAATTGATTAAAGATATGGAGGTAACTTTCTATAGCTGGAAATGGAATAATGTCTTTAATTTGAGTACTGGAAATAGTCCAATTAAAGATCATCTGACAACAAAAAAATATAACAAAGCCATTTCATCACTCAAACACAATAAGTTGATATATATGGATCAGCTTATTAACTATAAAACCAGAGAAGTATTGGATTGGCGAATGTTTCAACTCTTACAGAAGACAAGTAAGGAACCTATTCCAGAATGATACTTGTTAATAGCAAGAGAAATGTGAGGAAGCAAATTAGAACAGCTCACAAGAACTTAGAAAGAAGATTGGTCAAAGTGGAGTCCAGAATATCCAGTACTCAATTTTAATCTTGATAAAAAACAAAAACTTTGGGTAATCATCAAGAGCAATAAGCAGTAGCAATAACTTGTTTGGGGAAAGTTGATTCTAGATAATGATAAAAGATGCATTAAAATAGATTATTTCAAATGTGACAACTCTGAGTAAAAATTAAGATCAAACCTGATATGATGCCAGGACTGCTTAGAAGGGATCAAGACTGAAAACCAATGCATAGTAGAATCAAATATAGAATAAATATATATGGTTCCTTATCTTAATACTAGAAAATCTGCAAGGAGAGCTCAACTTTTAAAAATCCCTTGTTCCAAGGTAGCACTAGAGGAATCAATAAGTAGAACAATTTATATAGACTCAGTGACTACACAATATGATAGAAGGCAACTGAAAGAAGTAGCGATCAAGAACTGGAAAAAGAAGCTTATTAAAGAGAATATTAAAGAAGGTGTATATCAAACCCATCTGATTGAAATACTCAGGTGTAACAAGAAGAATAATAACAATAATACATTGACCTTTTACTCTGATGGTTCTCTTGTTGATCATAGAAATAAAATACAAAGATGAGTGTAGCATAGATATAAATTGGAGAAGCAGGAAAAGAAAGCAAGTTATAAACAGGGGTAGCTGATTGGCCTTCATCCATCTAGTAGCAATAATCACTATACTATTAGTAGTATCAGTCAATAACAAGGTCAAGATTCATACTGATAGTTAAGCCTGCATCTTCAAATGGAAAACTATAAAAAAGGAGGATTCCAAAAAAACCCACAAAAAATGACTAAAGAATAAAATTGATCCTTATGGGCACGAATGTTGAGCCTGGTAAAGAGAAAAAATTAGATTTAAATCTTATCAAGGTTAAAGCACATCCCAACATTCAATATAATGAGGAAGCAGACATTTTAGCCAAAGAAGCATTAAAGTTATCAACAATAGAATGACAAGATCTGGACTTACCTAAGATTATTATTGAAATCAAATGGCAAGATATAGTGCTGGATGCTCCAATAAGGTAGTTTGTTAAAAAAATCAATACCAAAATAATGATACACCAATAGACAACCCAAAATAGAATAGACAAAATGTGAGTCATCAAATCCAAGACCAGCATAGGCACACATGGGACCTAGTTTGAAAACAAATGAATAATGGGCACATATAGACTACCTCCTTCAAAGGATCACAAAGAAAAAGCTTTCTTGTTAAGATGACCAATGATGAGCTACCCACGTTAACAAAGTTAGACACAAGAAGATTAGACTTATACAAACAAGTAAAATGTCTTGCAGATAGATAGCAGGAAGAGACAATAGAATACTTGTTAGAATGTCCAGCATATAAAACTCAATGGCAAGAAACCTGGCAGAAAGGTATGGAAGATATGATGCAAGGTTTTAACAAACTTCTGGTAGATAGGAAAAAGGAATCAGAAGAAAAAGAGATAAGTTTGGCAGTTGATAACAGAATGAAAAGAGAAGAAATAAATAAGAAAATAGCTCAACTAGTGGAAAGGATCTCAAACACTGGTCGGGATATACTTAGCTTCTGTAGGGACTGATTGAAAAAGATCTAATGAATAAGATAGTAGACTCGAAGTGCTATGAAAAGAGAATCGGTAAAAAAGCAAGAAAGTGAATAGTAAAGATGCAGAAAAAACACATAACTACTTTTGAAAGAAAATTTGGAATATTAGATGTGAAAAGGTGATAAAATGGGAATGGATATTGGGAATCAACAGAGATGACAAGATAAAAAGACTGATACATCTATAGAAACAAAGAAACAGGACCAAGATATCAGAAAACTGGTCATATCAAGTATCATTAAAGAAAGAAGAAATAGAAAATACGATGTTCAAATAGGTCCTGTGAGATGGGGTAAAGTATGGGATGAAATGGTTAAGTTTTAATTTCTGTCAGAACTCAAAAGAGTGATCTGTAGTAGTGATTTGCAGGTAATAATGTTAGAAGTTGAAAGGGTATTTACCTGAACTCCTAATGGAGTGATAAATTACTTCCGAAGTTGCACTTAGAAAGGTAAAACAACCAAGACGAGTGAGTTAGTTAAAGAATTAACTTTAGCACTTCATATTATATGTACAGCTTACAAATGTTTAATAAAGCATACATAACTAAACTGATAGAGGGTAAAAAAAAAAGAATCAGAAGTGATTATATTATATATTAATTATTAGTACTTAACTTAAACTTTAAAATAAAATAAAATTTTTTTTTTTATATTTAAGTTTTATAATTTAAAGGGATAACCTAATTATAATCAATACTGTAATTATTAAATTTGTTATTTATTTAAATTATTTTTTAAAAAAGTTTAATCCTATTTGGATATTTTTTTAAAAAATCAATATCCTATTATCATTATCAAAATGTGATCAAATTTATATTTGACTAATGTGTTTAAGTAGAATTGCTTTTAAAAAAGACAATTTCTAAAGAAAGAATTTAAGAAGTGATTTATAATAATAAAGAAATAATTAAAAGTATATTCATCAAGAATTTTCTTAAACAGTGTCACATGGTGTTTCACAGGAATATGATTTGTTTAAAATCCAAGATTTAATCCTAAAGTCAAGAAAAGATATTCGATCTTTCAAAAGTAAAGTAAAATTATTTCTATAAACTTATTCTACTTTCTACTACTTATATACTTATAGTATAAATGATAGAAAGGAATAAAAACTAATAACACAATATCAAAAGTAACCTTGAAATGATAATGTATAACAAAAGTTAGCTAGCTATAATATGAATAGTCTATGCAATATTGTAGTTATGATTGTAAATTAAATAAATAAAATTATATCTATTATTATTATATAAAAAATGCACTTGGGAAAAATGACTTAAAGCTTCAGCTGAAAAAACGCTGCAAATAGTTTGCACATTTAATGTTTTGAAGAAATTCGGATTCAACAGATTGTGATTTTTTGCGGGTCGGGCAATTGGGATTGACTTTCAACAATGCACGATGGAACGTGTTTTTTTTTTTTTTGACGAGATTTTTCCGAGATGGGTAATAAAATGACATCTCAACATTAATCTAGCCTACGAATTGAACCCTTGTGGGCTATCGTCATTCTTCTAATGACTAATAATACTTCGTGAAGTATATTGCACACAGTATATAATATATAGCATACGTACTCTTAAATAGTCAAATAAATATATAAACTAAAGTGTTTCCTTGCCCTCGACATTCTCTTTTCCGATTGTCGCACATAAATAAAAAGAAAAATATTTCGCACTAATCATTTAACTGATTAAAGTATTCCTTGCTTTTTTTTCAAAAAGCTGACTGACCGACGACTAACGGCTTGTTCATTTCGATTTTTCATCTACTTACTTCTAATAGATTTGAGATGCCTCGGTTTAAGCACATGGGTGCCAAAATCAATTTCAGAGAATTTCTATCTCCGACACCTCGCGAACAGTTCTCAAGCGAATCGGCGGCGAGAGGAGCTGGCCATGAAGACTCTCGACCTTTACAAGTTTCCAACACTGTGACCATCAGAAGATCTGATACGTTGCCCAAATCGAAACTTGATAGAATGCGAAACGAGGTAAAGCAGTTAATTCAGGAAGGAACGAGACCGGTCTATGGGGCGATCAAGATAATTTCGTGGATTGACGAAAATTTAAAATGCCTCGAACATCAAGGAATTCGTCTAATTCAAAGAGAATCGACGGGAAGCTACCATTTGATGGATAGAATAGAACGAAAAAAGGCAATTCTGAGGGTTGAACATGAGGAGAGGGTGAACGAAAGGAAAAGATACCGTGCAAGAAGAAATCAAGAATCAAGTTGGGGAGGATTCACCTCGTCAAGGGTGAGATCCGTTTGGAATGGAGGTTACATTGAAGTTGAAAGACCACAGAACGAGATCATTGACCTTTTAGATTTCTATCAGAATCAATTGGAAATTGTTACCATCGATATGGAGGATGAAAAAGAAGATGTGATTAGCATCTATGCTTCGGATCCCGAGTTCGACGACCTTGAAGGGGAGGAACGAGAGAAAGACGTGGAATCGGAAGATAATTCGAGAGTAGGTATGTTGGAATCAGAGTTCGATTCGTTAAAATTCCGAAGCCGACTAGGTGGGAGAGTTGGCATTTCATCGTACATATAAAGTTCTCGATTCGAGATGGAAAACGGTAGATTTGCGCAACGGTCGATAGGGAATAAGAAAGATTTGTCGAATTCGTCAGATGATTAGAAATTTTTTTTGAAGGCGGGGTACGGAACTAAAAATGTAACCAGGGTGGTCAGTTGCTTTCATTCCTTGATCAAACATTTAAAAACTCGGCGTTCGCCGAAAGGAATTTTCGCGAACTTATTTCAATTGTTTTTTTTTTTTTTTGATATAAACAAACAAATAAACAAACAAATTATACACTGTCTTCTGCACCGATTTATCCGGCGAAAATTCACGGACGCAATAAAAGTTTATGCAACCAGATAATGCTTTGTTTTTATTACAAAAAATGTGTATGTATATATAGAGAACCATATATGTTATATATATTGCTTTATGTCGATAACTTGTCACAACACCCGTAAGCGTCGCGACGCGCCGAGGGAATCGAATTTTTTAGTTTATGATGAGGATGAATACTTTTATATGTATATTTATATTTATCTTGTAAATAATAGTAGTAAAACGAAAAAAAAACGACAATGTTTATGGAAAAAATGTACAAAAGAAATCGTGAAAATTTACAAAATTAAAATATGTTTTAAATCTTATTGTGAATAAAGGGAAGATAAGAAGATTCAACGTCCATTGCTACTGAGCACGTCCAAAGTAAGCTTTGGGATATGGTGGAGGTGTGTTCAACATGTTCATCGCCGGGTGACCATTTGATTCTCCAATACTATCCCCTCGATTTCCACCTTGAAAACCCGAACTTCCCACATTCAATCTATCATAATATATCGGTTGAGATGAACCGTGAACGGGAAATCCCCTTTCACCGGCGGAACTCGAAGGATGCATTTGATGAGAATGTTCCATTTTAATTGACATCGGTGATGTCGCATACATTGAGGGTGGTGGTGGTGAGTCCAGATGATGAGGGTGATGTGGAGGTTGATGGCTTATTGGTAGATTCGTTGGATGATAAGGGTTCGGGTGAAGCAGCGGCGATCGATGATGGTGGTGAGGGTGAGGCGGCGGAATCGCACCGGTTATCATGTTGTTGCTAGGCCGGTACTGATTGAAGGGTTCAATGGTCCTTTGCATCATCATGGCTTCAGCCTTTTCTCGAGCGCGCTCCTCGCGTTCTCGTTGTTCGCGATAACGTTGCTCTTGTTCACGCTGAGCTTGTTCGCGTTTTCTATTCTCGCGCGCGATTGTGCGTGAGTATCTCAACCCGCATGCGTTGCACAGACTGCGTGGAATTGGCAGATATCATATGTCAGAGACACCTCGCTCGAGATCAATTTTTTTTCTAATATTAAAAGTACTCACGTCTTGTGACCGGTTGGTCCTCTTCTCCATTCAGGACTGGAGCTGGTATGGCAGCTCTCGCATTTCTTACCGTGAACCGCGCTAGGACTTCTGCGTTGTTGCGGTGCGAACTGCGAAAACATTTGCGATTGGATGGGGTCGGTTTGCGAGGGAGATTGTTGTGGTGGTGGCGGTGGCAGCAGCGGTATAGGGTTGTGTGGACTTGAGTGGTTGTTATTACCTGGAGGATAACTTGGTATGAAATGTGGTGGTGGTTGCGATGGTTGCTGTTGACCGTGAGGCGCATAATAGGCGTGATGTTGAGATAATGAGGGAAAGTTCTGTTCTTTAGGTTGCGGCGGTTGAGAAATTGGCTGGAATTGGTATTGTGGATATTCACGACATGTAGGCAATTCTCGAGGTGGAGAGGAAATCCTCATTGACGTGGGATCGTTCGATACGGCAGGTTCGGGAACATGGTGTCGTTGGCGCTTGTTCGACGGATAGGCATCGCCGTTAAACTCGGAAACCTCGGAAGGGTAGTGAGGAAGGGCGAGATGATTTGACGCATCCGGATGAAATAGCTTTGGCAGGGGAGATAAAGAACAAGGGGATCTTGGTCTCTTTGGGATGCCAGCATTGGAGGCCGGCGAACACGGAGCAGACTTTGCCTTTGGCTTGAACACCGCGGACCCGCCCAGGGAGATCGAGACCACTGACGATGATGATGGTAATATTTGAAAGCAAGCAAAAATGATGTTGCCATAGGGAATCACCACGCTTTCCACCTGACGGTATTTTCCGGATGTTAATAATAATATTCGTTTGTCGGTGACCGGTCGTAAACAATTTGGCTGGGAATCCACGTTTTCCATCCCGCTGTTTTTGCTGTCCGAGGTCAGAGCCACGTCGCGAAGGAGCCCCGAAAAATCATCCTGGTTGTAATTGGCGGCTTCCAAAAATTTACGACTGACGCTTGGATTAGGCCAGGTGAAAATCAAATTTCTCGAATGCCTATCTAGTATTTGAAAGATGCGACCCGGTTCATCATTGCTTCTTTCGTGCAGGGTTTGATTGTCTAGATGTGGCGTGGCTGGTGGAGTTTGCACCTTGTGAAATTCGGTTGACGAATGTTTGTGCAAGAGCGCCGACAATCTATTCAACTCCTGAAAGCGAAAATAGCATCACAAGGGGGTTAGAAACGTTTCCCTTGAGAAATCTGAAACAAATCCTCAAATTATGCTTGCCTCACTGGTAAATTCTGTTTCACCGCAGGAAATAGAAACGTCATTTTTTGGCTTCCCTGAAGTGAAAAAAGAAAAAATTTTTTCCATTCGTCAACAATGACATCGCGCCATCTCTCTCAGGACGACCAATGCGATGAACATAAAAGAACCTCACCAGATTCGGAATGAAAGCACGCGAGCACCAGGTCATGGCTGACCACGCTCATTCCAACATCCACTATTATATACTCATCGCCGGTTATTGACTGAGGGGGATAGTTTGACGGTTGGAAAGGTTTTGGTGAATTGATCGCTATCGCGGAAGCCTGAAACTTTCTTCGCATCGACGAGATGCTATCGTATTGACATCTGAAAAGGAAAAAAAAAAAAAAAAAAAAGAAGGGTTAATGGCAGTTCGAAGGATACGATTGGTCGTGTGCCAGGTCACGTGTGGTGAATGGAAGAGTTGAACGAGGGTTCTCGGATGAGAATGATGTCGAACCATTGTGATTCTTTTTTTTTTTTTTCTCGGGGGATCAAGGGAAGGAATGCAGAAGGGGGGGGGCGAATCAGGTTTGCCTAGGCACACGTTGCTGAACTCGAGGGTAAAAATTTTGGTGCATGATGAAAATCGACGTGTAAATACCTGGTAACCGAACAGGTTAAAGTCTTCTTTTTGACGAAATCTGAGAGGTCGCGTTTCGCACTATCTTGATCTTGAGGGTGAACGTAATCGAAAAATGATGTGCCTAATAGTAAGCTCTGTTCGGGACCAAGGGCTTTGGAAAGCCAAGATGAAATATAGATGAAGCTCAGGTCCTTTATCGACAAAAGTGACCAAAAGCAAATAGTCTCTGAAGGCATATTTCGGTAATCGGTGGGTGGTGGTGAGTTGATCACTATCTTTCTCTCTTTTATATGTATATGGTAATAGGATTCGTATGCGATATTTGTAAGGGAAAGGAGTGACTTAAGAATTAAACGCGAACCGTTATATAAGAACTATGGTTTCACGAAAAGTAATATTTGGCGAATCGTTTGGTGTGTGATTGATAATTTTAGCTAATTATTTCGTTTTTATATAAATCGTATATGCAAGGTGTGTGAGAAATCAAATCTTAAGTGTACTTTTTTTTTTTTCCTTGTTTAAGACGTCAAACCGAAAATTCGGGTTTAAGGGTGTTTATGTAAAAAAAAAAAAAAAAAAAAAAGGAGTACGGTGTATAATACAACAGGTTTTGCCAAGAGAGATTTTTGGGTGTTGGCGAATTGCTTCTTTGTTCGTGCCGAATTTAATGCAAAATTTGATGGAAATTCCACCCGTGAGAATGAGATTCTTGTGAAAAGGGATGTCGCCCAAGGTATTAATCAATCAATTCGGTGGGATGATGAAGAATCGAAGGTGCCGATGGACAGTTAGGAAATCTTCTTTGGTGGAAAGTACACGATGAAGCATCTATGCATCTATTGGCAAAGAAAATTATATATTTACTATAATACAAGTGAGAAATCTGTCTTTTTTGTCTAATGAAATGATAGCAGGAAATTCTTAATCGACGTCGCCCGAAAGGGGAGTTGAAGAAAGAAGTGAGGAAGTGCGCTTGTGTATTATTTTCTAGGGTGAAGGGGCAGGTTCATCCGGTTGTTGGGAGGAGTTTTTCGATACACATGTGCGAGTGCCGACAAGTGATGAAAAAAATTTTTTTTTCTTTTTAAAAAAAAAAAAAAAAAAAAAAAACAAGAAACGTTTTTTTTTCGGTCGGTCGGTCGGTCTATTTTTTTTTTTTTTTTGAAAAAAACTAAAAGAGAAAATAAAGATGGTGGAAATTCGAGGTTAATATATTTTTTTCAGAGTTCAATTAGGACGTACGTAAACGCAGGTGAGCAACACAATATTTCAAATATTTTATTTATATTTATGTGTGGTGGATGTTGCAATAAAGTAAATTAAAAATACTTGCGTATATAAGAGTGAGAAAATCGGTAACATATGTGTGAGGTAAAAGGGTAAACAATAGCTTGGCTTCCAATCGGGTTTCAAAAAGGTAAACAGATCACATTCGATATGTCACCAGGACGTACGCATCGGTGATAAGCTTGTGATTCGAGTCCGATAAAAGGAGTAAAGGCATAATGAAAGTGCTAAGTAATCGTAATCGGGTAAGTGATGTGTCAGATATTGAAATTACAATAAAGCATAAATATATGCACGGTGTGCATATAAAAAAAAAAAATATAATAGACACAGCCTACTTCCCAATATGAATGAATAATCCTAAAAAAAAAAAAAAATTATTTCAAAAGTTTATTAATTATGATCTCAGTTTTTTTTAAAAAAAAAAAAAATTACAAAGACGGGGAACTTTAATATACAGAAGGGGTCACAAAAAAAAAAAAAAAAAAAAAAAAACTTATGTTCGATGATCGTATCACACACACTGGAATCTCCAAGATCACTTTTGTTGTCCATCTCCCCTTCCGAGAGTCATTCATATCTTAAATATTAAAATTGTGACCAGAATTTTAACGGGATTGATTGTTGCTAAAGGAAAAAATGATTTCCGGAGGGAATTAAGGACAAGGTGACTAACTGGATTTATTTTAAAGATTGACGACATGATTGACCAGAGTTCACAATTGACCTTGAACATTTAAGGGAATCGAGACAGCACGAATTTAAATGCCTCATTTGTAAGCACGCACGCAAGTAATGTGCGTGCACGAGAAGCCGATTGCCGAAAACTTGTTATTCGTCTCGTCCCATTTATCCGAGGTTTGAAAGCGCGAGAAGAGAGCATCTCCTTTTTTTTTCACAATATGCACGGCACACACACACAGTATGCGTATATCAATCAAATAATATTAATAATATTAATATCATAATACCAACAAATAATAATAAACAATAATGATAATGATGATAATGATGATAAATTCTTTGTCTTCTCTCATATATCGTATCAACATCATCTCTATGTTCATTAAATTAATTGCCCATTATGCCCGCATTTGATGTTATTAAAGAAACTTTAGGTCTACGCCACACGTATACACACACACGCACACACACACACACATGTACACATACACACACACAAGAAAAAACATTCTGGTTGGTTTCTTTTGAATGAACGCAGCCTCTCATTAAATACACACATGCCAAACAGTTAATTTTAAAGTTTTACCAAACCCTCTTGTGAAATTGTTTATCGCCCAGTCATGTATAGTGGAATCCCTGATTATGCGAAGGTGGCCACAATTTACCGGCGGGACGGTTTTGTGAGATGATTAGAAATTGCAGAAATATTTGTAATTCAGTGGTTGATAGTATCCAGCATCGGCGAATGTATATTGAAATCCGATTATTGCCAATCTCCGAGTTAATTTTGCAGGCCTCAAAGTTTCGAATTGGAGAAACCAACCGAATTCTAGGTTGGTCGCACGAAAATAATAATAATAATAATGAATCGTAAATGTTGCAAGCAATCGATATGATCATTGGGGAGAGGAAAAAAAAAAATTATATTCTATGGTATAATGAGGATGGTGATAGATAGAGTTTGTATGAAATGTTATATATGGGGTAATTTCATAAAAAAACCGCTGGTTTTCCTTTTTTTTCTCTTTTTCTCACATTTTTTGTGGTATACATTTATTTCATCTTATCACGCATGTGGCATGGCCTTTTACAAACGCACAACACACAAAGGCAAGGTGTTGGAGGTCGGAACAAGATGTTCGTCCGATAAGAGTTTTTATCGCAATATTGTCAAAAAAAGTTCGCCAAAGAGCGCACTGGTTATCACAATAAACAACAAGAAAACAATCGAATTTTAAAAGGTGTCATTCTCCGCGGCAATTGTCGGTCGATAAATTTTCGCGCAATCGTCGAGATCCAGAGTGTACGCATCCATGGTGTCATCATTCCAACCAGCCTAAAATCTCACGCCAATACTACTTGGGATGTCGTAATGCATGATACATTAATCTCCCGTTTCTAAGGATGGAATGTCATGGGTTAAGAAAGCGGCATCCTTGATAATCACACACATCGATGTCAGCGGCGTCAAGTCCAACTGTTCGCCACGAGCACACCATCGAATCTCCCCTTTCGCGAGATATCGTTTCCTCATACGCATTTGAACATTCAAAATCGTAGAGTTTTACTTTTTTTTTTTATTTTTAAAGAAAATTTATTTTTTAAAAAAAGGAAAATTAATCAATTGATTGATCGATTAATATTTGTGGTTAACCATTTTTTGATGAAGTTAAAAAGAACCTTCATTTCTGATTCCGATTAAGAGGAACGATTTATGTAATGGTAACTCCTTGCGACAAAGGTATCATCCGCATCATTTTGTGAACCGTAAATGACGAAGAACAGTAATCAGGGTGAGGGGTGAACGGCACAACAAAATGTCCCTCAATTTATTTACACTTGTGCGCAATGGAACCTGTTCATTCTAAAAATATCTTATTTTTCAAAAAAAAAATGTGTCCGCGCGCAGATGTCGGTCGTCTTTTCACAATCGTCGCACCGTCGTTCGGATGATTTTATTTATTATTTATTATTTATTATTATTATTGTTAATATTACCATTATTGTTATCGCAAAGACAATCCTGCCTTTCCTCTATAAAGCAAATATTTAATATTCCTAGGTAACCCAAATTCAAGGGTCTAGCTCTTAACAGCCAAGGGAGTCGCATGATGTATTAATGGTGGGAGAAGCCAGATTTGAGAAAAAAACGACGGAAGCCGAAAATTTCTATGATCGGTAAATACTGTATGCCACTCAAATTTATCAAGATCTGTAACAAGAGATGATCGTTAATCTCATCATGTAAAAGGAAAAATTACAGACCGAAAGAAGCCTAATCGTGACTAACGTGATTCCCTTTCAATTGAGGCATGCAGGAATGCGTGCGTGCGTGCATGCTATGAAATTTTAATTTTGTAAATGTAAAACTTTAACGTCACGAAATGCAAAAATAATTATCTATTGAAAGAGAAATTCTTGCCGGAATTGTTCAGCTAATGAAAGAAAATTGATCGATGTAACATTGGCATTCGTAAGGAGGTACCACGACGAAAAAAAAACACTCTTTCTATCAATGAGTCAATATTTGCTGAATGGACCCAATTAAGGGATTTATTCCTGCACAGGCGAACGTTACACGAACATAATAGCGATGGTCACCGATGCCATTCAAAAATCCGATCTATTTACTGTTTTGATACTTTGCGGTCAAAACTTGTCCAAAGATTAGAGAACGTACGTGCGCATACATACAGACGTACACACGTACACACACGTAACGTACGCACCTACGTATGTATGATGAGATCCTGGCGGTTGCGAAAATTCGAATGCATGCGTCACATAATCATTGGTTCGATTAATAGTAGCTCAAGGGAGATTACACTGTATATATCACACACACAGTATATCTATCGAGATTTACTTATTACTTGTTTGTTACTCAATAATGTATGCGCATGTAGCCGATTGGCGACTATCCGACAGCAAAAATCTCTGAGACGAGATACCCGCACAAATCAAAGTAGGGTGACTGCCGGTGGAATACAATGCACTGTGCGAATGATGAGAATTGGTTGGCGTGCCGCGTGGTCTCACCTTGCGCTACGTGGCATTCATGTCGAACCACCGTTAACAAGGTTGGCGGATAATGACGATGACGGTTCCGTGTCTCGGGAGATTGCCAAAATTCATCCTGTCGCTCGATTGAGACTTCAAAGGTGTCATGCCACGTAAGAATACGCCAAACATAGCAGCGAGATGGAATGTACAAACTTGCCGGATTTCATTTCGTTCGAACACCAGGTCATTCGTCGATTCCTAAGATTCGTCCGAAGGGGGGATAGACTAGACGATCCAAGCGTACCATGTTTTTTCTTGGCAATGATATTTGTTTGTTGGAATTTTTTTTTTTTTAATGTTGTATCTTTATAATTCAGTTTCTTTCATTCACCATTTCCTTCCTTCTTTTTTTTTTGTTTTCTTTGGTGCACCGTCAGTGTTACTCGCGAAGAAAGAGTGGGTGCACAGAGGGAGCTCATGTTATTTCGAATTCTTCAAAAAAAAATATCACCTCACGCATATATACGTGTGCGTTGGATGCATGTGTTGGCGCAAAAAGAATTTTTTCCATTCCAAGGAGACCCACAAGATGCTCATTAAGGCGGTCTGATCGTAAATCAATCATGTCCCAATTTCCAAACACGGTAAATCGGAGAACACTGTCCAGATTTACTTCTGTGTGGCATGACTCTCGAACTTCCGGGAATGCTGCCCCTCAAATCAATTTCCAAAAGGAAATAGATGAGTGCGCCGAATTTGTACCGACATTCGGAAAAGCAATTCACTGTAAATTTAAGCTACCAAACAATGTATAAGGAGGCGGCGGTGATACGAGGCAATGGGCATTGATTAAACACCATATACAGTATGTGCGGTGTTATGTGAAGTCCAACGAGAAAGTGAGCTCGGCGAGTTGCGAAGGGAATGGGTGATGTTAACACGTCTCACCTCCACCACATACAGTACATACTGTACATCGATCGTCGGTGTTAGGTGCATTGCGACCTCACCTCATCTTCACCCCCTCTCTATCTTTTATTTCAGGACACATACACAAGGGTGATTTCAGTGGTACAATTTTTCAAACACACATGCTCCAACTTTTTTTTTTTTTTTTTTCAAAACATGTATGAATCCAACCAAGCTTTCATATTTGGAAGACAATTCTTTATAATCCGTGATTCAATGGGCCATGGATTTGACGCACTGTATTTCCGCGGCATAAAAATTTGTGGCTGTGTAAAATACGAATTGGTACAAATTGATGGACTAATTTAAAAAAAAGAAGCAGCGATTAAACTCTACAATCTGCGATTCACCCACAAAATGCCTGCAACGCATCGTGAATAATAATGATAATAATAAAAGAACGCACAACGTTACAAAAGAAAGAAAGAACGGTTTGTGATTTACGACCCGCATGTATAATGCACCAGGAATTTGTGTTAAATCGTGAACATTCGAACACAAAAACCTGTTTTCCTACCGTCGGCAAACCCTTTTATTGATTTGACGATGATGATGATAAGAGAGCGTGGTGATGAAATGTCCGTACTGTTTTCATTCTTTTTTTAAAGACTCCTCTTATTCACCAAAAGGCGGCACCATTGAAGCAGAGGTGATTATTTGATGACTTAAAAAGCATTAAATAGGAGGAAAAAAAAAAAAAAGAAAGAAAGGGAACCAAATTAATTATGTGGGTTCATTATTTATTTGCTTGTTATTATTGTTCAATTTAAAATATACGTATATACAGTATACTGCACATATGGTTATATACATATACAGTATATTTACAGTATATAATTAATAAATTAATGAAAATAAAAACGAAATCCTCGAGTAAACATCAATTTAAGACAAAGCGACAGGCAGTAAGGATCATTATACATGATACTCTTGTCAGGACGAAATATCTCCTGATACAAATCTCCAACATGCACTCCTTGCCAACGTGACATACGATGCGAAAAGCTAGGGAAAACCCGAGAACGAACAGGGGCACCCCGGACATAAAGAAATCACCGAAACTATGAGACGATGGATGATCACACCACACAACCGGAGCAATGATGATCTCTCTCCGGTGGCTAATCTAATTTTCATTTATCTGCTCATCACACCAACTCCGATTGTACGAGAAGAGAAAAAATAGAAAACTTTAAAGTCGGATGTTGGCTTGTTATTAGCACGAGGATTCCCTAAATTATCACAATTCATTTGGGAACAACCTTGGGTTATCAGATATGCGTGTAATCGGGCAAGCAATGAGAAGTCGCAATAGATTGATTGTACGTGAGACATCACTTTACCTGCTTCCAAAACATGCAATGGATGAAAAGGGAGGGAAACTATTTTTATGAATATAACACATGTTCTTGCATGGGACTCGGATCGCCACATGCCATGCAAGTGAACGGGTAGTAGGGTCGTCCTGGAATAATTTGAATTTTTAGAAAAAGAGTTTTTTTTTTTTTTTTTAATGCCTGCATTATAAACTTACACACCCCGGTCATCATCGCGCGTGAGAATCTTTTCGTCCATTTTTTGGTTAATCGGTTTCTTCTTTTTAAAACGATTTCGACCAAGAGGTAGATGTGGTACACGCGACTCGGTTTAGATGTGTAATCCGTATTTAGCTAGGAATTGCCTTTTCTTCTTTCCACGTATCACAAATCGAATTCATTAAAAACTCGGCTGAATCCGGAAAATCGAGAAAATGTGACATTAGGCGACCTCTCATTCGATTGGTGATGTTTAGGAGATTGCCACGGTGAATTCGAGGCGAGTGATGGTGTGTGCGTGTTACACGGATATACATGCATGGTCTATCCTTTCCCATTTACGTCCAGGTGCCTTCTCTTTCGGAAGTCGGCGAGAGAATCGAATGACAATGGAAAGAACGAATAACAGGAAACGAGGAATATCATACCAGAGAGAGACGAAAGAGGAAGGAAGGAAGAAAGAGGAAAGAGGAAAGAGGCAGGCGATAAAAAAGATGGGAGGGAAAAGGAAGGAATAAAAGAAAGGAGTGAAAGGAAGAAGGAAGGAATGGATGGACGAAAGGGAAAAGGAATGAGGAGCATAAAAGGTGAAATCAAGATAGATACCATGGGATCCGAACGGTGGCCAAGAATAAGCAATCTTTCATGGAGAGGAAGCGCGTATGCCCGAAATCGACACCGCACCAACCGACGATACGGTATAATTATAATTATTCATCGCCTTCTAATAACAGAGATGGTAAGTCGAATTCAATTAGCAATATACTGTAGGTTGTGTCATGAAACCACGATCGAATAAACAACATTCATCACTGCAGCTCTTTCCATCGGTGTGATTCGTGCTACCATTATAAATCAATGATCTGGCTTTGTGTATGTTACGATTGCCTTCTTTTATTTACACTATTGTATTTTCCATATGCGATAGTATAATATGATCATGGCTGTAGATCACGAGTTAAATTTAGGCATCCTTTTTGCACCACATGAAGTCGATGTTAATTTTCTATTTCTACGTGGTTTACACTACTAGAATGTGCATGCGCTTACGTAATCGAAAGTACAAATGATAATAATAAGAAAACGCATCCCGTTGCGTATCGATGCTCGATTAAGAATCCTCAATAGTTCTCTATCGCCCATTCACCTAAAAAACCATTAAGAGGATCTTCACGTCTTCCCCAAAATGGCACCACAAATCATTTACCGGTATCTTTGCGTCCATCTGTGAATGAATCTCTTGCGAATATGACCAACGAAACTTGGAATCGGGGTTTGAATGACCATTTATTTATTTATTGTTCTTTCTGTGCGAGTTGTTCTTCTTCATGCGAACGCTCTTCGTCGGTACGTAACGTGCATGGTTGCGAGAAAAGGATCAGTCAATCAGATCCCTTAAAGTATGTTAAAAAATTGGCTGTATTTGTGGCTGAATAAACATGATTGTTGTTCTCCGAGAAATTTTAAGTTTGGCTAGTCTCATGTGGATGCAAAACAAAACGAGACACCTTTGGAAGAATAAGAAATATTTGCTTGGCAAGTGGTTATTATTGTCTTGCCCTTGTCTGAATTATTTTCACACTATTGTACTGCTAATGTTGAAATTCCAGGCGACTGACCTTTACATTGTTTGGAATGTGGAAATTTTATTATTTTGGGAAATGCCATTGCGACGAGCTCGAATGACACCTGAGCAGTTGATGACCGCGCGAATAATGATGTCATCTCCCTGCAACTTAAAAGTACCTTTATGTGTCACCCGATCCCCTTCGCGATTTCCATACAAACGATACCAAGCGGAGGAGATCCGATCTTTAAAAAACTTTACTGAATCGTAACTTAATCTAGAAGGTTGTGTTGGCCACCCCTGAGATCAATTCCGTCACTCCATCACTTCTCAACGGTATCAAGATTATCATGCCAAAATTAAGCAACAGCCCATCGATCGATACACCTGTTATTATCAAATGAACTTATTCTTAAAATGGCATTGCGCCTGTTGATGAATAGCAAGTGATGTGTGAGAAGGAAGCACGTGGTTGTGATGGTGGGAAAAGGGGCCAATTAGATTCTAATAGATGCATGGTCGAGGAATAATGAAAAAAAGAAAAAACCGTCTTGCAGTTACCGTGTATAATAACACGCTGTGCGAATTGTATATGCTGCTTGATATGCTGCATATTGTCGACCACCAAGATTATCATGAATTCATGTTACTTCGTGTCATGCACACGCTCGATGTTATTGTATTAGTCATCCCCTCCCACTCCCTCTTTCTTGCTTCCAAATAGTTCGGACCGTATTGATGGGATTCCCACCCGGGCTTTTCCGGACGGGACTATCTTAGTTAAGATTAGTGCTGACTAGCATTGCCTATCTGGGCCCTATGTTTCAGAATCGACCCCTTTGCCCAAAAAGCCAAAATTTGAAACCCGGCCACTCCGATCGTACCACTGTTTTCGTATTCACCACCTAATTTTGACAGCTTTTCATTACGGCATAAATATAATCATATCATGTAATCACTATTTTGTAATGCGATTGTGATTTGCCTGTTTTGTAAAGCCGAAGACTCCTGAATGACCTCACAATAATCCCTCACACAGGATTGTGGGCACATTCATATCTACAGTATTTATCATGTACATGTACAGTATATCGGTGATATCGCCAATCGCAATTTGTTTGTATGATAAATATTTATATTTTTGTTGCAGAACAAATGATTTCTTTTTTTGGACGGGTGTTGATCTGTGCAATAACTGCATTAAAGCCACGCGTAAGTGTGTGCGTATGAAGTCGGTCGTTCTTATCGTACGAGCATAGAGAGAATACCTGATGACCACCAGCTATAAGCTTTTATGCCGAGATCGTTTGCCTTCTGTGCAACCGCATCTTATTACCTTTCTTATTTCGGACTTTTGATAATCCTGATCCTAAAGATAGAATGTTCTAGACATGAGTCGGGTAGCACACGCATACACATTCCATGCTAACGCAAAAAAAAAAAAAAAACGTTCCCGATTCGATTGATACTTTTTGCATGACTACATTATCACACACAACGATGACGACATTCGCATGATAAAGTTCCTCCTCTTTCTTCATTCTCTCTCTTTGTTTTTGTTTTTATTTATTTACATATATATATATATATATATTCGCACAGAGCTAGGTGATAATTCGCCCGACCGTGATTGCCGTTAATCAAGCGCCAAAAGATGATATTGCCTGCCGCTCACCATGAGATTGTTTTATTGTTTTTCTTTGTGGCCTCAATCAGAGAATGGTTGTGGCCAAGTCAATTCCATCGCAGAAACAGAATAGAAACAAAAAGCCACGAGTAAACCGAGCAACTTGCGAAAACAATGATATCTCAATTTGTCGCCAACTATCAATTCAACCATCGCGTTTTTTTTTTTTTTTTTTCTCAGAGAAGAAGTGTATTCTCTGAATTGCGACTTATTCCCACAAAATTGAATTGAATGTGATTTCTTGTCCCACGCGGTTAAATCGAAGCTTAATCGTTTGTGGTGAAGAAGATGAACGAGAAGGCTGAGATCATTGATTTTTACTTTTTAGGTTTTAACAAAGAAAATTTACCAAATTTTTTTTTTTTTTGGTAAGCACAGCCACCAATATCAACATGCGGACATCGTCAGATTGGTCTGATTAGTGCATTACGTAATGAATATGTATTACCAGGTATCAAGGGCTGTGTTTAATTGTTTATTTGGTGATCAAGCCACATTCCACAACAACAAATGCATGCGTACAATGCCTCATTCCCAAATCAGTATGGAACTTTATTGTTCTTCCTCAGGAGAAGCCCGTGGCAATAAATTGATGGGGAGCTATTCCCGAAGGAGAATTAGACTAATCGGTCAGGAAGCCAAGAAATTTGATCCCATTATGACCCATCCATAGTTTATACCATTCACAACCTTAAATGATTAGCTTGTGACATCCCCCTCGGTCGAGAATTCCGGGTCACAAGGAGAGCGCGGTTGAATGTCGGCCGAATGGGAATCCTCATTATTATTACCGGTCGCACAATACTTTGGGAAGAAGGTCAATCTCGATCACCTCTTATCGCCACATGCTCATACAGGAGGAGCATGGGTGAGGCAAAGATAAATAGGTAAATGAAATGAATAGAGACATAGTATATTATCGCAAATTTTAATCGGTGGAGGCGAGGAGCAATCGAATGAATTGCAATCGAAAAAAAAAGTTACCAACTACACGGCGAAAACAGGAAACATCGGTTCTCACATTTAATGATCTGGACAGACCGGATCCGAAGATAGGGTATTCGAAATTTCCGAATATATTGAAAAAGCCAAGGAAAGAAAAGATGATGGCCTTTTTTTTTTTTTTTTGATGCACAAACAGTGCATAAATGAATGACGGTTTTAGTTGATTTTAATTCATATCTGATACTTCTTCTTCTTCTTCTTCTTCTAATCAAGATAGAGAACCCTTTTACACAAAACACTGTCACAGTATTACTCATCATCCCCCATGACTAAAACGTATTGTCAGTTTTGTCAATGAATTGAAAAAATCCAGCCGGTGACACTTCGTTCCTGTGACTCATGATCAAGGTTTGGCTTTTTTTGTGATGTAAATAAAAAGGCCGAAGTCGGAAAAAAGAACCAAGGATGAGAAAATTCTCATGGATCCACTATCGATCGTATCACACCGTATTGATGCTAACCTGCTGGCCACGATTCGTTGATTGAAACATCTTAGAAATCCTAGAATGTTTGTTTACCAGCACCGCGCGTATAACCGCGCCAATAATGTTACCTAAAGGATTTGTTTTATTGGCAAGATATGAAATCCGAAAATCAGAGCATAAACGGGAAAAGAGAAAAAAAAAATTTTACCTTTCCGTACATTAATTATCCTTGGTAAAATAAACGCCACCTTGTCTCAAATCTTCAGACTTTGCAATTTAAATTTTCGTGTCACCCAAGTTTCCTGTGAAGCTTGTGACACGTTGAACCATCGGGACCAATTAAGGTAAGGGGTCCTTGTGAGGAGACAAAGAATCGTACGTGCCTGGGCTTAGCATTACGAATTGTAAATTTGGAAACAACTAATTGTTGTTTTCCAAAACTTTCATAATTGTTGGGAGTATAAAAAAAAAAAGGAGACGGGGCATGACATTACGTGAATGCCAGGGGAAAAAGGTGTTTATGATTCTGTTGCTTGGGAATTGATCGTCTCGAGGAAAAGACAATAAGTAATAGAAGACGTCAGACTTGTTGAGGCTTTATTTCTATGTATGCGTGTATGCACTTGATGTTTACGACTTGTGCGTTTCCGGCATGCAAGTAAACAAATATATATATATATACAGTATATATACGTATATTATAATTTTTTTGCTATACGCCGTGATGCTCTCTCTCTTATGATTTTTCAATCGAAGGCTGAAACTTCCACGTAATCATCAGTATACGCGATTACCCGTGAAGGTAAACACATCACGGTAAATATTTTTCGATTGTTCGCATGGGAAATATTTCTTTCTGCTGCTCACGCGAGAAATGCTCTCTCAGTTGCTCCCATCAGAAATTATTCTATGCGCGGTGTCAAACAAAAGCCGCCACCACAAATATTTGAAATTAAATGAACTTTTGCCACAAACATAAATTCCCCTCGACTTCAAGGTATGTTGGGGTTTGCAGTGTAGATTGATTCTTCGGACACTTTGATTCGTCCTTTTTTTATTAAAATTCAAGTTATTGCGCCCCATTTCCTTTGTGTATCGCCGAACTCTACTTTGATCACTAATTAAATTAAACGATCAAATCACATCATACCACTCCATCTGACCATCATAACACAGGAATCACCAAAACATCGGCGCCAGCGATATAGTGCTTCGGCGATAACTTGTGCCAAATTGAACATCGACATTAATTGGTCTCAACTATCCAATGTCACACTGCACTTTCCCATGAACATCGCTACGCATGTACCGCACGTATGTACTGTACGTATCAAACGAATGCTTTTTTTTTTTTTTTTTTAGCAGCATATGATGGACGATCGCATTGTAACCAAATGCGTGGAACTTTTGTGTCACCTGAAGACGCATATTCCCGATCAAGCTTGCCGAAAAACATGTACGATATCTAGGCGCGCATTTTGTTGACACCGGTGTGATGATTGAAAGAGGTGATTCCTAATTTCTCAATGTCGAGTTTGACGATGGTTCGTTCACAACCCTCCTCCTCACCACTGGTGCAAGGAAGAGATCGTCGTAAATAAAGACAGATCTCTCGCTTCATTCCGCACATTTTCAGAAGGACCGACGTCCTGATGTATGCTCGTGTGTGAACCAAATAGAGGGAAGAAGGGTAATGAGAATGTGATTCTGATTGTTGATAGGTACGACCGGAAATTCGAACTAGAGCCGGCACACGCGCATTCGCTCTGCATCCCGTATTTTCCTTTTTTTCTTGTTCATGCTCGTTACACGGGCGTCGATGTGTCGGCGAGAGTGGTTGTATGTGTAGGAAAATCTTTCTCATTGAGTCTTAAGGATCTATTGGTCGTCATACGTTCTAAGCCAAACTTCTCGGTGCACACTTTATCCCGTTTCTTTTTTCGGAAGTCTTAGCCCGGTCGCTAAAATGGGGACTAGTGTGGATTTCTTGATGATCTGTTAATTGGACGGATCGATGATTCGGTAACTCTCATTCTTTGGAAATGGTCTCGATCAAAGGTATGCAATTGTCGATTTTTTGAAGGAAGATTACTGCCATTATCGTATAAAACACGACGTGCAGGGAAAAGAAAAAGGATAATCGAGCGACATTGGTAAAGAATGTAACTCTTATTTGTCATGCTTTATCTAGTCCGCGCGGATTCGCATTAATAAAAAAGAAGAAAGAAAGAGAGGAAATAATATCAATTATGGACGATTATGCCTTTCCTTTCGTTGGGATCTGCTCTGTGCATAAAGGTGTGCGCGGCGAAGATTAAGAAAAAAAAAAGAATGTCACCCGAAAGTGTTATTCGATTTTGGACATCTTTTTTTAGCATCCCATAGGTAATAACACCCCCGAATTCCTATAAATAATTGCGAATGAGAAGACCCTGACCGCAAAGCAAAACTCCATATTCGATAACTCTCATTACATTCTCTGGGTAAAGTATTGCATCTACAATTTTATGCGACTCAAAATCCGTTTGCCTCTCTCTTATTTTGCTTACCAAATCCGGCTATCCTGATCACATTCGGCGGCGGTGATATTTGATCGATTCTCGGTAAATAATTTCGACTAAGAGATCCCCTCCAAAAAAAGCAACAATTACCGAAACGTGCACGTGCGTCGAGGTCGCTAAAAAGGAATGATTATGGCCTTCGGACTCGCGAAAACCTCAATGCTCATTGACACTCGGTTGGATTTGCTTATGCGAACTACTTATCTGGCCTTGAACGTCCGTCGATCCAATTATTCGAAGAAATTTTCGAAATAAATAGATAAAGTAAATGGATAAAAACAGAAATAAATAATTAAAAAAAAGAATAATGATAATGGATAATGATAATGAAATAAAAGATGAGGCAAGGCATGGTGTTGAATGGATTGAATTAAATTGGGACACAGAATCATTTATCTCCGAGAAATGAGTGGACGTGAGTTGACACCCTTTTCTCCTCCCTAAAGGGAATCTATTTCATAGAGTTTACTTTGGTAATCTCCCTATGGTATTAAGGAAGCCGTGGACCTGTGAACATCGATATGACGAAAAAAACAAAAGAATGGGGGCGATTGCGAGGTGTACAAATTGGACGGTTGACCGAAAGTAAACTTGGGAGTCAATGGATTTATTTTGAAAGAGGATTCAAGGTTTTTCCATGTTTCTTTTCAAATTTTATGATGATGGACAATCGCACATTAGTAATCATCGTGCGTGTAGATTGAACGATTGTAGTTCCCTTTCGCCGGACCTTAAATTAGAATTTGTGCGGCGTGAGATGAATTGTATGAATCAAATTGACATTATCTTCAAGGAATGGAGAGGTCACAAGTCCATTCTTAATTAGAACCACTAGGGCTTGATTGCTTGTCACGGCAATTTGATCTTTGCACTTCCTTTCTTTTTTAACTTTAAGCTGTAGAGAATGAAATGGTCAATCGATGTTGGTCGTGTGACCGTGTCCAATGAGGCGCCTCGAGATATCGAGCATAGAACTGACTGAGCCGTGAATTCGATTATGGGCCGCGGCAAATTGAGTATGAGAGACCGGATGGGGTATGGTGTGGTTTGAGGGTCACATAGAAGGACTGCTAATTGCGAAACTGAGGGACACACGCGTTAAAACCATATGGTCTGTAATGGATAGGGAATGGGATGAAGGACAAATTGAATTGATCCTCGAGAAACCGAATTAAAAATTCGAATCAAAATCTCGTGTGATGATGTGGCACATGACTTATACATCGCGTGCGCGAGGATTGCTTTCTTTTTTCTTCTTTCCATTTTTCGATTAGTACCAGCCGCCTACTATCAGTGTGCTGCGTAACCCATCTCACAAGGATGATGTTCAAGATGTTCAAATAATAATAATAGTAGTAATAATAATAGTAGTAATAATAATAGTAGTAATAATAATAACAATATAATAATAATAATAATAATAATAATAATAATAATAATAATAATAATAATAATAATAATAATAATAATAATAAT